AAACAAAAACAAAAACAAAAAACACCATAATATGGCTTTGGCAGAGAGCCTGGCCCGGCAGTGCCTTCCCTTGGGTTTCTCCTGGGTAGGCCTCTGCCACGAGGAGGCGCTTCCTTTTGCCTGTCCACGGCCCACAGCAATGGAATGTCTGCTTCCGAGGGTTGGGTGGGGGGGGACTGCTGGCAGAACTGGAAACCTTCTTCAGGTGGGTTTTTTGGTTTGTTTTGTTTTTGTTTTCGAGATGGAGCCTTGCTCTGTCACCCAGGCGGGAGTGCAGTGGTGCAATCTCAGCTCATTGCAGCCTCCACCCCCCAACTCCGGGTGCAAACAATTCTCATGTCTCAGCCTCCTGAGTAGCTGAGATTACAGGTATGTGCCACCATTCCCGGCTAATTTTTGTATTTTTTGTAGAGACGGCATTTTGCCACGTTGGCCAGGCTGGTCTCGAACTCCTGACCTCAAGTGATCTGCCCTCCTCAGCCTCCCAAAGTGCTGGGATTACAGACATGAGCCACCGAGCCCAGCCCCTTCAGATGGGTTTTGAGGCTTCACTACAATACTAGTTTCCCGTGGCTGCTGCAACAAATTACCACACAGTGACTTAAAACAACACAAATGTATTCCCTTACAGTTCTGAAGACCAGAATTCTAAAGTCCCACTGAAGCAAGGTGGGAGCGGGGTTGTTGCCTTCCGAGGCTCTGCGGGAGAATCTGTCTCCTGGCCCTGGAGGCGGCCTGCACTTCTCAGCTTGTGCTGCACATCCTGAATGACTGGAGTTTCCTGCTTCCGTCACTACACCTCCCACCCTCTCCATCACCTTCTCTGCTCTTATAAGGATCCGGGTGAGTACATCAACCCTGCCAGTACAAGCCAGCCAAAGACCCTTAACTTCATTATATCTGCAAAGCCTCTTTTGCCATACAAGGTCATGTTCACCAGTTCCCGGGATTAGGATATGGGCATCTTGGGGGCATCAGCCTGCTACAGCTAGGCTGCAAAACTGTTAAACCCTCCTGGTGTTTCAAAGATTGAGAGAAAAAGGGTTGGCATTTTTTGCTTAGGGGTCCCTCTTAAACTTGTACCTTTAAGGTCTGGGGTCCCTTTTAACCTTGTTTTTGTTTTTGTTTTTTGTTTTTTGAGGTGGAGTGTTGGTCTGTCTTCCAGGCTGGCAGTGGCATGGTCTTGGCTCACTGCAACGTCTGCTTCCTGGGTTCAAGTGATTCTCCTGCCTCAGCCTCCTGAGTAGATGGGACTATAGGCACCCACCACCATGCCTGGCTGTTTTGTATTTTTGGTAGAGATGGGTGGGGGTGGGGAGGGGGGTTTTGGCTAT